GACAGATCGAATTCAGATATGAGGCCAGATTTGCCAGGAAACGAGCATATCTACTCTCAGATATGTGGTAGGGCCAGTATGATCCAAAGCATTAATATACGATTTTTAAGACAAGTTAACAGATCAAAAATATATAAAAGAGAAAAAATAGGAAAAAAGAAGAAAAAAGAGAGAAAGAAATAATACCAAACCAGGCCGGATGGCCCGGGATTCCCGAGCCTTCGAGGGCTCACCCGTATTAGAACTGGTCCTCTTTGCTTCTCTGATTCGGATGTTGACCAGCTGATATCCAGCGTAAAAAGCTAGATCTAGGGTTGTTGTGCCCTAATTATCGTTTTGATCTAAGGTTTTTGTGCCCTAGGTTTAGGTTTTCTCAGTCTCGGGGGTTAGGACTTCAAATAGGGTTTCTATCTTCTCTAGGGTTTCCAATCTAGATATTTTTTTAAAGCTGTCGGTCTTTCTCGAGGTCTGGAGTAGAATTTCCTTAGTTTTCTAAGGGTTTTGTGATGTCTTGAGGTTGAATATGAATTCTGAAATTTTCTCTAATTTTTTGGAGATTTTTTCTTTAGAAATTTTATAAGGGTTTTTCTTATTTTTTATATTTTTTGGTAATTTTTCTAATTTCGGGAATTTTTAAGGTTTTTTTTGTCTCTTTTTCTCTATCCTTTTGGGTCAGGGAGAGAGGGTATTTATAAGATTCAATTAGTGAATTTTTAAAAAAAAATTAAAATTTTTTCGAAATTTTTTTTATTTATCTTGAAGTTTTAGCCTTGTTTAATTAAAGAAACTGCATTTACTGCATCATCAGATGCGTTGACTGCGTCACCCACGTCTAGGCCTGTCGGGCCCATAACAGCCCGGCCCGCGGCCCGACAGTTGGGTCTCACATGAATTAAATTGTTGTTTGTTATATCTTTTTATTCGTAGTCCGATTCAGGCGATTCTTGGACCGTTTGAAAGCTATTGGGCTCTACTTCAAATTGGGATAGGTTTTGGGTAGCTTTGGGGTATTAAATTGAGTCTACTAGGATAATGTGGTCTGAAGGGTTCAGAAAACCATAGAATTTGCCAGATTTAAAATGGGGTATCTACACTTATATATATATATATATATATAACTGAGGCTCTAAACAATCAAATTAGAGCCTACCTCAAAAATTTCAATAGAATGGGTTGTTTTGATTCCCAAATATCCACAAATTGATCATCTCGACATCAAGATGCATGGACATAAGAAATGGATTTCAAGTTTTGGAAATAGTTTACTTTGTAGCGCATTTTTTTACCATCAATTTTCAAGATTTTCAATTTTTCATGCATCTGTCGATCTACACTATATTTGAAGCCTTAAACTTTATAAATAAAGATGAAAATATTTTTAAGGCTATCACAAAGATTTCCAATATTTAAACCACATTTCTTAAAATTATTTGAAGGTAGATTTTAATTTGATTATTTGAAGAACACACGCCTAAAATTTTAAGTGATTTGGATTTGTAGAAAAAATTTAAAATTCAAATACTACCAAACATATGTGATCGTCAGATCGACCCAGATTCAATGTGGGCCGTTGAATTCATTTTTTTCGGTGAGCTAGT